CTCAGTTCTTTTCTTTTTTATTTTTTTTTTGGTTTTGTTTTGGTAAGTGTTTTACGGCGCTCGCAACTGCATATGGTCATATAAGCGCGCGGGATACATTTATCTTTTTTTTTTTTTCAGTTGGTAGGAAATTTTGAATTTTGCCCGGGTGGCGGCCGAAGCCTACTCTTATTGATTTTAGACTTGCACACGGGCCCTCCGAGATTTTTCGCCCTTGTTCGAGAAGGCTAGGCGTAGATCTTTCCTACCAGAAGATAGGGGTGTGGCTGAAAGACAGCAGTCAGAAGGAGACAATGAGTAACAGTAAAAAGACTGCAGAGAGAGTCAGGAGCCCAGAGGAGGGGACAAAGGAGGCGAGGGGGCGGGGGCAGAAAGTGGAGACGAAAGCAGACGACCGAACATTCCTAGAGAGCAGGAATGGAGGTGAAAGGAGACAATTAATTTAGAGAAGAAAATTCTAATTTTTCGGTAGCTACCCGGATTCGAACACGGGACCTTTGAATGAGAGGCGTACACCTTAACCTCTAAGCCCCGAGAGCCCCCGACCTGAGTTCGATTCTCGCGCGGAGAGTATTTTTGGTGGGGTATCATAATCTTTTCTGCTGCGACGCTGTATCTTTTTCGACTCAGGTTGGTCCTGGTTGGAAGGGTACAAGTTCGCCTCCTAAATTATTATCTAATAATAATAAATAATAATGCATCTGTATAGCGCATAACTCCGCTCAACAGCAAGCTCTATGCGCTTTACACTATATTATTCTATTATTACCCTATGTCACAAATGTTTGAATGATAATGCTCTATCATATTTATCAAATCTGTTAAGACTGTACATTCCAACTCGCAGTTGAAGGTCATCAGCTGACAAAAATAAATTTATTTTACCATCTATGAAACTTAAAACAATGGGTGAAAGGGCATTTGAACACCAAGGCCCCAAGATCTGGAATGCTTTACCAAGTACTTTGAGAGAGATCAAATCTTTTGATTCATTCAAATGTCAGCTGAAGTCGTTTCTGTTTTTAAATTAATAAGATGAATATTTGGAATAATTTTCTTTAGTCAGAACACAACGTTTTATGTTACTGTTGTACGTTGTACTGTATTGTAAAGCGCTCAGAGCCTGTGTACTTTATTCGGGGCTGAGCGCTATATAAATGTCATTTATTATTAGGACCCTAGCAAACCATAGAACACGCATAAATATTCTCTCTCAGCTTCCCGGGAAGCATACAATGCAAGCAGCTGACGAAGCGCTCAAATACTATACTAACAAACTGACAAGATCTGTTGCTGTCTATAACTGGGTACTCGTACCCACCTGGGTGAAGTGAGGAAAATCCGTGAAAAGTGCCTTTCGCAAGGATTCGAACCCACCACCTTACGGTTGCGAGTCTCAAAGGCTAACCACTAGGCCACCGACGCCACTAAACGATATCGTTGGATGCGCAAAGCACCAGCATTTCACCCTATCCTACGCCTTGGGGTCATTTAGTTCCCACGGGGCTGTATTATTCACATTTTAGAATACATACTTCTGTTAAGAAGATATCTTTGAAACGTTCAGTTTTTCTCAAAAAATCATTTGACAGACTGCTATGCAATCCCAACGTCGTATGGATACGGTAGTAAAAGCACGACGGGCGGATAGCCTTAAAAGTAAAGAAATCCATCTGCCACGACTTCTGGTCATGATCTATTTATCTGCACAACTCGCTTGATGTGATATAAAGGTGTTGTTGTTTGTGAGGTTTCAATGTGCACACAAAAACACAGAGCGG